AGTTTTTATTGTGAATACAATCCCCTCTATGCTTCCTCATTCAACAGTATTTGCTTCTATTCCCTCTGTTTTTGTTTTTTTGGATGTACACCCAAACATTCATGAATATACTAATCATTCAAACAGCCAAAGTGTACATCCTGCCCCCTGGTGGCCATCACACATCCCCTCTCCCTCCATGAGTCTAGAGTTCTCAGCTGCTCTGTCTCTCCATGTCATTATTTCTGCCTCCAATTCTGATGTCACCGCTTCTCTGGGTAGGGTTCCACACCCCGCTCCTGCTCTGATCCCTTGATGGTCCCAGGGTCCTCTGCTCCTGGACTATAAGATCAACCACTCACCCCTGTTTGCTACAAAACATTGGGAAATTTTGCTACAAAAGACCTCTTTAAAATTTTAAAAGGCAAAGATGTCACTTTGATGACTAAGCTACACCTGAGTCCAAGGTTGGTCCTTTTAATCACTTTATATGCTTGGCAAAAGTTGAGAAAGGAAGAGAGGGGAAGAATCGATGTATCAAGCACAGTGTTGGTGAAGAACATTGAATATGCTGTGAATTGCTAAAAGAAGATACAAATCAGTCTTAGAAGAAATACTCCCAGAGTGTTCTCAGAGTGAGGATGGTGAGATGTCGACTCTCTAGTTGAACACATCATCAGGAAATAGCAATTACTAGAAAAGCACATCATCTTTGGTCAAACAGAGGGTCAGCAAAAATGAGGGAAGTCCTCAATGACACAAGAACTACACCAATGGGCTCCAGCACACCAGTGATCAAGATGATGGCACAGGAGAGGACACCATTCTGTTCTATTGTACATGGGGTCTCCATGGGTCCTAACATAATTTAACACACCATACTGTCATAATTCAGGAGCCCTGGTAGCATGCTGATTGTGAGCTGGGCTTCTAACTGCAAGGTCAGTAGTTCAAATCTACCAGTTGCTTTGTGAAGAAAGATGAGGCTTTCTGCTCCCTGGAAGACGTATAGCCTCAGAAACTGTATACGTAGTCACTATAAATTGGAACAAGCTTGGTGGCACATACCACCACCACTGTCATAATTGCTTCATTGTCTATCTCCCCAGTTAGACTTCGCTGAGTTTCTCCAGAGTAGGCACTGCTCTGTTTACATTTGTATTACCAGGATCCAACATAGAATATGTCTTTGGTAAATGCTTGTTGAAGAAATGAGATCCAGGAATATTAAATGATTTACTTAAGGTCAGTCAGTCAGTGATGGTGGAATTGGAGTGGATTCCATATTTTCTTCTGATGGATCTCATTCTCTTGGAGATTTAACTTTCTCCTATGTATATAGCTGTAAGTATACTTGAGTCATTGGTAAATGGAAAGACATAAATAATCTGATTGAATCTAAGCATTTGGATTAGTATACGTAAACATGTACCATCGTTGGTAAGCATTGAGTTGTTGTTGTTAAGAGCTGTCAAGTCAATTCCAACCCATAGAGACCCTGTATAGGGTTTCTGAGGTGCAGCTGGTGAGCTTGAACCAACGACCTTGCAGTTCAAATGGCTTTGCAGTCTGGAGCATTAACCCACAGCGCCATACCAGGACTCTTAAGTATTGAGTAAAAGTGTTCAAATCCTCCAATATTTTGGTAAATACTTTTTCTACACTTCTGCTGAAGACTTGTTATTGTTAAGTGCCATTGAGTCAGTACCGACTC